ATGTTTCAAGTATTTGTGAAAGGTATTTCTACTTTGTATTCCTACACAGTATATACAGTATTTTACCATTTGTATTGCAGAGCTGAAAGAAACAAAATGGACGGAAACGTCTTCTGTCTCCTCAACAGACAACTGAAATTGTGAATATGGTCCTAGAAAATAACGTCATAACACTGACGTCAAATGCAAACAAAAATAATAGAAAACATTGAGATATTTCAAAATATCAATACCGTAAGGTAAGCTTATAAATGCTGTACTGTGTCTTGAGCAGAAATAAGCTGAGGATGAATCAGGTATAGAGGGTGCCATTTGAACACAATTCAGAAAGAATCAAAGAATTGCGATATAACTATGTGCAAGTAAGTCCAATTCAATATACTCCACAATTGATGCATACTCTCAACATTGTATAAATTATTCATATTTCAGTATTATACAAATATATATATATATATATATATATCCATCTATTTTTCTTTTGCTTATCCAGGGTCAGGTCGTGGGGGTAGCAGCTTAAATAGGGAGGCCCAGACTTCCCTCTCCCCAGCCACTTGGGCCAGCTCCTCCGCGGGTATCCTGAGGCGTTCCCAGGTCAGCCGAGAAACATAGTCCCTCCAGCGTGTCCTGGGTCTTCCTCTGGGTCTCCTCCCGGTGGGACGTGTCCAGAACACCTCACCAGGGAGGTGTCCAGGAGGCATCCTAACCAGATGCCCAATACTGGACCAGCTTTACACTCTCAGCAGGGTCCTGGAGGGTGCGTGGGAGTTTGCCTAACCGGTCTACATGTGCTTTTCGGACTTGGAGAAGATGTTTGACTGCGTCCCTCAGGGAACCCTGTGGGGGGTACTCTGGGAGTATGGGGTACCAGGCCCTTTGATACGGGCTGTTAGGTCCCTGTATGACCGGTGTCAGAGCCTGGTCTGCATTGCTGGCAGCAATTCGTCTCATTCCCAGTGAGAGTTGGATTCCACCAAGGCTGCCCTTTGTCACCGATTCTGTAAATAACTTTTATGGACAGAATTTCTAGGTGCAGCCGAGATGTTGAGGGGATCTGTTTTGGTGGCCTTAGGATTGCGTCTCTGCTTTTTGCAGATGATATGGTCTTATTGGCTTCATCAGATCGTGATCTACAGCATTCGCTGGAGCGGTTCGCAGCCGAATACGACGCAGCCGGGATGAAGATCAGTTCCTCCAAATCCAAGGCCATGGTCTTGAGCCGGAAAAGGGTAGAGTACCCTCACCGGGTCAGGGAGGAGGTCCTACCCCAAGTGGAGGAGTTCAAGTATCTTGGGGTCTTGTTCACGAATGAGGGAAAAATGGAACGTGAGATAGATAGGCGGAAAGGTGCAGCGTCGACAGTGAAGCAGGCGCTGTACAGGTCTGTCGTGATGAAGAGAGAGCTGAGTCAAAAGGCAAAGCTCTCAATTTACCAAACGATCTGCATTCCTACCCTCATCTATGGTCACAAGCTTTGAGTTGTGACCGAAAGAATGAGATCTCAGAAACAAGTGGCCGAAATGAGTTTTCTCCACAGGGTGTCTGGACTCTCCCTTAGAGATAGGGTGAGAAGCTCGATCATTCGGGAGGGACTCAGAGTAGAGCCGCTGCTTCTCCATGTCGAGAAGAGCCAGTTGAGGTGGCTTGGGCATCTGGTTAGGATGCCTCCTGGACACCTCCCTGGTGAGGTGTTCTGGACACGTCCCACCGGAAGGAGGCCCAGAGGATGACCCAGGACTCGCTGGAGGGACTATGTTTCTCGGCTGGCCTGGGAATGCCTTAGGATTCCCCCAGAAGAGCTGGCCCAAGTGGCTGGGGAGAGGGAAGTCTGGGCCTCCCTACTTAGGCTGCTACCCCCGCGACCCGACCCTGGATAAGAGGAAGAAAATGGATGGATTCAAAGTATTCCACCCACCGACCCACGACATCCCGAGTTGAGGTCAGCAGCACACCACCTCCACTATAAACAGTGTTGGTAGTGTACCACTTTCCCTCCCTGAGACGCCGGATGGTGGACCAGAATTGCCTCAAAGCCGTGCGGAAGTCATTCTCCATGGCCTCTCTGAATTCCTCCCATGCCCGCGTTATTGCCTCAGCAAAAACCCGAGTCACATGTCGCTTGGATTCTTGGATTGCCTGTACCCGTCAGCTACTTCTGGGGTCCCACAGGCCAAAAAGGCCTGATAGGACTCCTACTTCAGTCTGACAGCATCCCTCACCGCTAGTGTCCACCACCAGGTTCGAGGGTTGCTGCCGCGACAAGCACTGACAACCCTGCGGCTGCAGCTCCGGTAAGCTGCCTCGACAATAGAGGCACCGAACACGGCCCACTCGGACTCAATGTCCCCTACTTCCCCTGGAACATGTTCGAAGTTCTCCCGGAGGTGGGAGTTAAAGCTCCGTCTCATAGGAGACTCTGCCAGAGATTCCCAGCAAACCCTCACAATACGTTTGGGCATGCCATGTCTGACCGGCATCCTCCCCCACCATCGGAGCCAACTCACCACCAGGTAGTTATCAGTGGACAGCTCCGCCCCTCTCTTCACCAGAGTGTCCAAGACATGTGGCCGCAGATCAGATGAGATGACGGCAAAGTCGATCATTGAACTGCGGCCTAGGGTGTCCTGGTGCCAAGAGCACATATGGACACCCTTATGCTTGAACATGGTGTTTGTTATGGACAATCCATGACAAGCACAGAAGTCCTACAACAGAACACCACTCGGGTTCAGATCGGGGGGGGGGGGGGGGTTTCCTCCCAACCACACCCCTACAGGTCTCACTGTCATTGCCCATGTGTGAATTGAAGTCCCCCAGTAGAACAAGAGAGTCTCCAGGAGGTGCCCTCTCAACGGAACTGGTTCCAGAGCCATGCGTAGAGGTGAGTCCGACTATTTCTAGCCGGAACCTCTCAACCTCACACACCAGCTCAGGCTCCTTCCCCACCAGTGAGGTGACATTCCACATCCCAATAGCCAGCTTCTGTAGACGAGGATCAGACCGCCAGGGTCCCTGCCCTTGGCCACCACCCATCCCACATTGCATCCGACCCCTTTGGCCCCTCCCACAGGTGGTGAGCCCATGGGAAGGGGGACCCATGTCTGTGCCTGGCCGAGCTCCATGGGTAAAAGCCCGGCCATCAGGCACTCGCCCGCGTGCCCCACCTCCAGGCCTGGCTCCAGAGTGGTGCCCCAGTGACCCACGTCTGGGAGAGGGAACATCGAGTACATGTATTTTTCTCATCATAGGGGTGTTTGGGCTGCACTTTGTCTGGTCCCTCACCTAGGACCTGTCTGCCTTGGGTGACCCTACTAGGGGCGTGAAGCCCCTGACAGCATAGCTGTGCTCTGAGTGTAAAAACAATATTCTAAAATATTTTACAATACACTGATGTATGTACTATCTGTACTAAGTACAACACTGAACTGCTGATTGCTGCTGATCTGTTTCATGTTGATGTGTTCATGCGTGCTCATATGCTGAACTGCTGATTGCTGCTGATCTGTTTCTTATTGATGAGTTCATGCGTGCTCATCTGCTCACACAGACTCATGCTCATGTTCGTGCTGCTGTTCGACGTAATGTTTTTATGCTATTGGTGCTTAGTGCATTTTAGTTGATGTTTTTCTTAGTTCATATATTAGATCTTATTACTGTTTTTCATTTACATTTTATTGTTGGATGTAACTGGGACCCTGTGTACATAATGTGTACATGGCTACCGGTTCACCTTAAAATCCAGTTCAAAATACTCCTGTATGTCTACAAATTGCTGAACAGTTTCGCTCCCCCCATCTCTCTAATTTGCTACAACCGTATGTCCCACCATGTTCCCTGAGGTCAGCGGACCAGTTGCTCCTCACAGTTCCAGGAACCCGTCTTAAGCGCAGAGGTGACAGGGCCTTCTCTGTAGCAGGACAAGACTTTGCAATGAGTTACCTCTGCTTGTCAGACAGGCCCCCCTCCCTCTCGGTTTTCAAATCCCGTTTAAAAACCCACTACTATTCAGTAGCTTTCAACACCAGAGGATCTGTGTTTTGAACCTGCATGCTCCACAATGGTTAGTTGTCATACAAAGTATTTATTATCTGCATCATTTTTATGTCTGTATTCTGATTTACCTCATTTTGTATATTGTTTTGTGTGTTGCCTGTTTTTCTGTCTGCACAGCACTTTGGTTGGCCTTGTCGCTGTTTTAAGTGCTCTATAAATAAAATTGTATGGTATGGTATGGTATAATGTCATTCCACCACATGTACCACATGTGGTGTGAATGACAATAAAGAATCTCTGACTCTGACTGACTCTGATCAAAAAGGGCCTGTCAGTATGATGATGGGATAGAAGTGTTTTACACTGAGTACATCAATGTTTAACTGGTTCCTATAAATGTCTATTCATATGATAGTTTGTGTGTGTCATCTGAGAACAAAATACCATTTTGAGAAAATAAAACGTATTTTTGAATGTAAAGTTTCATTTTGAAGGAGAACTGAGGGGTTTGCCCATTGTGTGTGTTTTTTAACTAGTGTGTAGAGTTCTGAGAGTATGAGGCATGCTTTCAGACAATGTGTGTAAACAAGTGAGAAAAACTATTGTAGCTACTATATTGAGACTAAAAGTCCAGAGCCTTAATTATGATAAACATAGAGCTTTTTGCCAAATACTTTAAGGTTTATGCATTCTGCAAATGCAATAAATTATTGATTATGATTATTATGTTTTTTAATATAAGTTATGTTATCTTTTAAAACATATCAATAAAGACTGTTTCTATTCTATTCTGTTTCTATATCTTTTAAACAAATGCATGCTTTTCTCCATTATATTTTTTCCCATCTACAGGACTCTCTGAAAAACATTTAAATATCCATGCCACACCCTTACATTGTAAAAATGTCAACATTAAGGACACTTCAAAGTGCAAATATGCAAATGTGTAAATGTTTTTTTCTTTCTTTCTCTCTGTCTCATCACTCCACCTGAACTCGTGACTGCAGGAGATCATGGATCGTATCTACAAGAATGTGATGACCAAAGTTGAGCAAATGAACAGCTTCCAGCAAACTCTCTTCATTTTGGCATACAACTACAAACTAGAGCAGCTTTCCAAAGGAAACAGCACACCACTGTGTGACAGGTATGCAGCTGAGATGCTGCCATTCCATCTGAAGAACTGAAGCTTATCTGTGTTTAATCCTGTCTGCTTTGTTCAACTAGGGTGGTGTTCAGGAAGGTTCGCTCTCTGCTGGGAGGTCAGACCCGGGTCTTGTTGTCAGGTGGAGCGCCTCTTTCTGCAGCCACGCAGCGCTTCATGAACATTTGCTTATGCTGCCCAGTGGGTCAAGGTTACGGTCTGACAGAGACCTGTGGTGCTGGGACAGTTAGTGAGCGTAAGTTATGATAATTAATTCAATTAATTTTATTTATATAGCGCCAAGTCACAACAGAAGTCATCTCAGGGCACTGAACAGAAACATTCACATACAATATGAATGCCAGTTAGTAAAGTTCTATATCTAAGGAAGCCAGCAGACGTGTTTAGTCTTCACTTCATCTCAGTCTCCCATCCTGAGCAAGAACAAGGCAACAGGGGAAAGGAAAAACTCCCTCATAACAGGAAGAAACCTACAATAGAACCAGGCTCAGGACAATCTTTTTCAACTGGCTGGGTTTGAGAGGACAGGAAGGAGAAACGGACACAGAATGGCAGGTCCAGAATGGAGAAAAGCAGATCCATCACTAGGAGGAAAGACAACAACAAAAAATAATATTAAGAAAGAATAATTGCAAATACAAACTATTCATTTGTATTCATTTATAGCTATTGATTTGATGAAATGAGGTCAGTTTGCCCTCAAGCAGTCCAAGCCTATAGCAGCATAACTAAAGTATAGGTCAGGAAACCCAAGCCAACCCTAACTATAGGATTTATCAAAAAGAAAAGTCTTAAGCCCAGTCTTAAAACTGGACAATATGTCAGCCTCACGGATAGAAACTGGAAGTTGGTTCCACAAGAGAGGAGCCTGATAATTGAAAGATCTTCCTCCCATTCTGCTTTTGGAAACTTTAGGAACACATGCCTGCAGTCTGACAGCAAAGTGTTCTGTTAGGAAAATATGGAACAATAAGATCTGTAATATAAGATTGAGCTAGGTTGCTGAGAGCTTTGTAGGTTAGAAGTAAAATTTTGAATTTGATTCTGAATTTGACAGGGAGTCAATGGAGAGAAGCTAAATCTGGAGATAAATTATCTCTCCTATCAACTCTCATTAAGACTCTGGCAGCAGCATTTTGGATTAATTGAAAACTTTTTAAAGAAATTTTTGGACACCCAGATAGTAAACCATTGCAACAGTCCAGTCTAGACGTGACAAATGCATGAACCAGTTTTTCTGCATCATTTTTGGACAAGATGTTTCTAATCTTAGTGATATCACGCAGGTGGAAGAAGGTGGCTTTGGTAATTTCTTTAATGTGGGGGTTAAAGGACATATCCTGATCAAAAATAACACCAAGATTTTTAACATTACAACTGGAGGCCAGATTAATGCCATCCAGAAGAAATGAAGCATTTAAAAATTTATTCCTAAAATGCTCAGGTCCAAAAACGCTAGCTTACTTAACGTAACCCCGGTTTTTTGATAACAGAGTGAGGTGTTTCACTATGGGAAACGCTCCAGTGTGGCCATCTACGGAAGCTCCAATGACATTACGTCTGTCAAAGACAGACCGGTTGAGCTGTGCTCAGGGCTCCGCCCCCACCATAACACCACAGTCAACCGACCACCTCCTACTCATTCTAGGATGGTTTCTTTCCGTGACCATGCAAGTAGGGAAGTAATGGTGAAACACCTCACTCTGTTATCAAATAACCGGGGTAACGTTAAGTAACCTAACTTTCTTTTTCTAACTTTGTTCGGTGTTTCACTGTGGGAGATATGGCCCACTCCCGTATTTCAAAAAAGCCCTGAAGCCAACAACTATCTTGAACCCGGACTAAGAAGGCTGCGAAGTACCGGCGTCCAGTATCACATGAGCTAGGGATGGCTGAGCCACATTCAGCCTGTAAAAACGTACAAACGTATGTGGTGTGGCCCAGCTAGCTGCCGCACAAATATCTTGGACTGATACTCATCGAAACAGGGCCCACGATGTGGCCATGCTCCTGGTCGAATGGGCTCTCAGCCCAGACCAGGGCTCTGTACCCCTCTGCATAACAGGGACTAATTGTCTCCACAATCCAGTGTGCCAGCCTCTGGCGTGACACTGGTTTCCCTTTATGAGTTGAGGCCCAAGAAGCAAACAGTTGGTCTGAGTTCCTAAAGTCAGCTGTCCTGTCAACATATGCTTTCAGCGCCCGCACAGGACACAAGGAGTT